CCCGCCTGTCATCCACCCCCCGAATGCCGAGGGCTGTCTGGGAGGGTTCCTATATTCTTCTAAAGATCCCCCCTCTCTTCGCGGAGTTTTGCGTGCACCGCCCCCTCCTCCCCGAGGCCGCGATCCCTCGTAGAAACAAAAATGGCCCGCGCTCTCGAGGCGACGACCCCACGGCGATGGATTCGCGCTCGGGAGCTTCCAGGACGGCCAGGGCGGGCCACCAACAGCACCCAGATGGCTCAAGATGCCCCCAAGACGGACCAAGATGCCACAAAAAGGCCCAAGATGCCTCCAAGAGGGCCCACGAGGCCACAAGAGGACCCCCAGCGGGTTCCGAAGAAGCGAAAAGTATTGACAATGACCGTCCTTCGATCTTTGACAGATTTTCGCGGTGTCGCTTCGGGCTTCCGTCGGCTTCGAAAACGGTCCAACAAGCCTTCAAGATGGCCCCAAGCCGGCCCAAGAGAGGGCCCCAAGGCGACCCGAGAGGACCCCAAGATGGTGCCAGAGGCCTCCAAACCGGCCTAAGACGGCAAGAGAGCCTCTGGAGAGACCGAAGACGGTATTAGAAGTAGTTCGACGGCCCGCGACGGAGCCAAAAGACGGCCCAAAGAGCGCCAAGACGGCTTAAAAAGGGTGAGACGAGGTTGATCTGGAGCAGTCGGCGGTGGCGCTGGTGGCCAGACCCAGGAGGGGTCCAAGAGGGGGAGCACGAACAGACATTTTGCACCCTCCGCCCCAAGGTGTCCCGCGAGGCCGCCAGCGGGCACCCCAGCCCCAGAAGCTTCAAACCCCCAAGAAGCCCAAATCAAGCCCCAAGAGGCCCCCGAGAGGCCCCCCAGACACCCCCCTCAAGCCGCCTCCAAGAGGCATCCGAGAGGCCTCCCGGTAGATCCCCACAGGCATCCACGAGGCCTCTGACCTAGAACCTAGCTAGGCACAGTGGCGGGATGCGCCGAAGTCTACTGGATCCGCCGCCCCCCGTTGCTTGCCACAGGGGTCCACGGCGTGCTGGACGTTGGGCTGTTTTGGCTGGTCCAAGATGTTCCCACAGGCCTCCGGCCCAGCCCACTGGCCACCCAGAAAGCCCAGGAAACTCCGGGACAATACCTGGTCCGTCGACTCTCCCGCTCAGGACGGCACCCAAATGGACCGCAAGACAGCTAAGATGACCTGCAAGACGGCTAAGATCGCCCCGAGATCGCCCAAGACAGCCCCAAGACGTCTTCAAGACGGCCCAAGATGCACCCAACACGGCCCAAGATACGCTCCAGCCCAAGTCGGCCCAAGAGGCCCCCAAGACGGCTCCGAGACAGCCCCAGGGACCTCTGAGGCGGCCCTAAAGCGATCGATGAGGGAACCCAAGACTGCCCAGAGAGGGCGACGATCTCCGAGTGTTAAGAGGTCCCTGATAGGCCCCTAGGGGCCCCCAAGAGGCCCCCAAGAGGCCCCAGGAGGCCCCCAAGAGGCCCCAGGAGGCGCCCCTCAGAGGCGCCCAAGAGACTCCCAGGAAGTCTCCAGGAGGCCCCAACAAGGCCTCAAGACACCTCCTCACATTGCTCCTTATCCTCCTCCTCCTCCTCCTCCGCCTCCTCCTCGTCCTCCTCCTCCTCCTCCTCCTCCTCCTGCTGCTCCTCCTCCTCCTCCTCCTCCTCCTCCTCCTCCTCCTCCTGCTCCTCCTCCTCCTCCTCCTCCTCCTCCTCCCCCTCCTCGCCCTCATCGTCCTCCTTCTCATTCCCCTCCTCCTTCTTTCTCTTATTCTCGCACGTGTTCCCCTCAAGGGTTCCACAACGGCTGGGAGAACACATAGACCAACAGCTTGGCTGGACTTCGGCCCAAAGTTTGGCCGCATGGCCGTTTCCACAAGGGGGCGGCGGTGATTATCCGCAGGCGTCTTCGATGCTTTTCACTCGCCGGATCGCTGTGTGCGGAACTGCGCTCGAGCGGGTCAATTGTCGCTCTCGCCCAACCGCCGCGCAGATGTTGCTTGAAAGTGGCAGCGCTGGTTGGGCGCGGTGCATGCTTCGTCTTGGCCGCGCTCATCGGAATTGTGGCCGCCCAAGACAAGGCTGAATTGAACTCTCTCCTCAGCGTGCGCGGCCAGCATTTTTTTTCCCTCGTCGAGTTGTCGGAAGCGGGATTGTGTACAAGTGCCTTTCGTTCGCAAATCAGAATGGGAACGCGTTAAAGCTCCAATCATGTTAGCACCATGTTCTGGGAGAGTGAGTGAAAGTAAGCGGGGCCCGCTGATCCTCCTCCTCCTCCTCCTCCTACTCCTCCTCTCCCCTCCCCCTCTCCCTCCATTCTTCTCAACATTTCCTCCTCACGGTTCCTGTCATCCTTCCCCCATTCGCCTCTTACCCATCCACCTCCAACGTCTCCTCCTGTCCTATACTCAAACTTCGCATCCTTCTTTTCCTCCTTCTCTCCTCCAACCGAGCGACGATCAGAAAATTAGCCTGGCGAAGAACCCAACCATATGCAGTTGTCAGTACCGCAGCTGCGGGTTTCATCTTCAATGGAACTCCCCATAGGACTACGGAACGTGTGAGGGGTGTGCCGAGATGGGTGCCACTGGGGCATTCGGCGAAGCTCCCTATGGGGACATGAAACACGCGCGGGGCGTGCCGACATGGGTGGCGGAAACGCATGTGCGGGCCGCCACTGGGGCCTCCAGTGGAACTCCCTATGGGTCCCCGAAACATGATGCTGCTGCGGGGGGGGGGGGGGCGGGATGGGTGGCGGAGACGCATGTAAGCGCCGCTACTGGGGCCTTCGGTGGAGCTCCCTATGGGGCCACGAAGCGCGTGAGGGGTGTACTGGGATGTGTGGCGGGGACGCATGTGAGCGCCGCCACTGGGGCCTTCGGTGCAGCTCTCTATGGGGCCACGAAACGTGTGAGGGGTGTGCCGAAGGTGGGTGTGGTGACGCATGCGGGCGGTGCCACTGGGGCCTTCGGTGGAGCTCCCTATGGGGCCACGAAACCTGTTGTTGTGAGGGGCGTGCCGGGATGGGTGGCGGGGACGCATGTGAGCGCGGCCGCTGGGGCCTTCGGTGGAGCTCCCTATGGGGCCACGAAACGTGTGAGGGGTGTGCCGAATTGGGTGGGTGTGGGTGACGCATGTGAGCGCCGCCACTGGGGCCTCCGGTGGATGATGGGGCCACGAAACCTGTCAGGGATGTGCCGAAATGGGTGTGCGGGACGCATGCGCATGTGAGCGCCGCCACTGGGGCCTTCGGTGGAGCTCCCTATGGGGCCACGAAACGTGTGAGGGGTGTGCCGAATTGGGTGTGCGTGACGCATGCGGGCGGCAGCACTGGGGCCTTCGGTGGAGCTCCCTATGGGGCCACGAAACGCGTGAGGGGTGTGCCGAATTGGGTGTGCGGGACGCATGCGGGCGGCAGCACTGGGGCCTTCTGTGGGGCTCCCTATGGGGCCACGAAACGTGTGAGGGGTGTGCCGAATTGGGTGTGCGGGACGCATGCGGGCGGCAGCACTGGGGCCTTCGGTGGGGCTCCCTATGGGGCCACGAAACGTGTGAGGGGTGTGCCGAATTGGGTGTGCGGGACGCATGCGGGCGGCAGCACTGGGGCCTTCGGTGGGGCTCCCTATGGGGCCACGAAACGTGTGAGGGGTGTGCCGAATTGGGCGTGCGGGACGCATGCGGGCGGCAGCACTGGGGCCTTCGGTGGGGCTCCCTATGGGGCCACGAAACGTGTGAGGGGTGTGCCGAATTGGGTGTGCGGGACGCATGCGGGCGGCAGCACTGGGGGTGGGGGGCCACGAAACGTGTGAGGGGTGTGCGAAGACGCATGCTGGGGCCTTCGGTGGGGCTCCCTATGGGGCCACGAAACGGAGGGGTGTGCCGAATTGGGTGTGCGGGACGCATGGGGCCTTCGGTGGGGCTCCCTATGGGGCCACGAAACGCGTGAGGGGTGTGCCGAATTGGGTGTGCGGGACGCATGCGGGCGGCAGCACTGGGGCCTTCGGTGGGGCTCTCTATGGGGCCACGAAACGTGTGAGGGGTGTGCCGAATTGGGTGTGCGGGACGCATGCGGGCGGCAGCACTGGGGCCTTCGGTGGGGCTCCCTATGGGGCCACGAAACGTGTGAGGGGTGTGCCGAATTGGGTGTGCGGGACGCATGCGGGCGGCAGCACTGGGGCCTTCGGTGGGGCTCCCTATGGGGCCACGAAACGTGTGAGGGGTGTGCCGAATTGGGTGTGCGGGACGCATGCGGGCGGCAGCACTGGGGCCTTCGGTGGGGCTCCCTATGGGGCCACGAAACGTGTGAGGGGTGTGCCGAATTGGGTGTGCGGGACGCATGCGGGCGGCAGCACTGGGGCCTTCGGTGGGGCTCCCTATGGGGCCACGAAACGTGTGAGGGGTGTGCCGAATTGGGGTGCGGGACGCATGCGGGCGGCAGCACTGGGGCCTTCGGTGGGGCTCCCTATGGGGCCACGAAACGTGTGAGGGGTGTGCCGAATTGGGTGTGCGGACGCATGCGGGCGGCAGCACTGGGGCCTTCGGTGGGGCTCCCTATGGGGCCACGAAACGTGTGAGGGGTGTGCCGAATTGGGTGTGCGGGACGCATGCGGGCGGCAGCACTGGGGCCTTCGGTGGAGCTCCCTGTGGGGCCACGAAACGTGTGAGGGGTGTGCCGAAATGGGTGTGGCAGGAGGAGGGGGGGAGGAGGAGAGGAGGAGACGCGGGCCACCGTCTCTTCAAAACGAGGACCCAACACCACAGGATGGTTGGGAAAAAGGTCTTACGCGAAATGGCATGGCGACCTTACGCCGCGACTTACGCGGGCCGCCAGCGCGGCATGCTACATTGGAGATGAGGGCGCTTACGCGCGACCTTACGCGCGCCAATGTCGGCGCAGACGACCCCGTTTCTGTTGCGTCGCTCAACTGTCCTATCCTCCAACCTGCGCCTCCTTCTCCATCCTCCTCGCACCCATCCACCTCCGACTTCGCCTCCTTCTTATCCTCCTTCCACCCTCATCACCCCTCTCCCCCCACTCGGGGGCGGGGACCGAAGAAGCGGCGGAGGGGGAAGGGTCTCTGGAGGTCCCGCGAGGCCACCCTCCAGAGGCATCCGAAGCTACCGTCTGAAGCTTGATCAAGCGACGACGAACATCTTGAGATAAATCAAAACGACGATGACGATTGATCGATCCTCGATCGATCGACGACACGGCGGCGTGACCCCACCGTGGGATCTCTGGGCCGCCGCCCATGCTAAGGTGCAGGCGCCATCGCCTTCTTCAGGCGGTTGATGGTGGCGCGGGTGGTGGCGGCGGCAGTGGTCGAGATGGCCCAGCAGCCGCCAGCGATTGTCTGAGAGGGGAGGGAGAGAGGGGAAGGAGGAGTAAAAGGAGGAGGACGCTGAGGAGAAGAAGGGGAGGAGGCCGAGGAGGGGGGTGAGGAGGAGGGGAGGGAGGGACGAGGGAGAGGTGAAGGGATGAACAGGAGCAAGGGCACGAGGATCGAGGCTCGAGAGGTTTTCAAAATTTGGGGCAATTATTGGGCTTCTGGGGGCCTATGGGAGACTCCAGCGGCTTTCGGAGATCCGGGGAAGGGAGGCAGCAGGCGACAGCAACTGAAGGAACGAGGAAGAGGAATAAAGGATGGTAGAAGAAGGAACAGAGGCGGGAGGAGAGTGTCAGGGGGGTATTTGAGGCAGGGGCGTGTTTAGGAAGTCATGGAATTCGTTGGAGAAAGAGAAAGGGAAAGACAAGGAATAAGGAATCATTACAAAACATAGCCATCGTGTGAACAAATTTTCAAAGAAGTCAGCGATAACATTAATAGAGAAAAAACATCATACTTATAAGGAGGTTGCAACCGGTGCGGACGTCGTCCAGGCCGATTTGCGGAAGAACCAAGCGGGTGAAGCCGTGACCTCCAAAGTATGGTGAATAACGAATGTGTACACATTAAAAGGGGGAGGGGCTCCTTGGTGCCAGATGGATAAGCTGGATTGGAAGGCAGTAAGAAGGGAGGATGAGCAGAAGGGGGGAGGAGTAGACAGGGGGAGGACGGTGAGGACGAGGAGCAGGAGGAACATAAGCTGTAAAACGCTATACCAATCATCATGTACACACGTGATCAGACTCCGCCCAATCACCTGCACCGGGCAACGAAAGACTAACAAATCAAAACCAAAACTATCCAGGCCCAATTCCAGAATCCCGGAACCGTCTGTGCGCACTGCAGACCGGGGGCATCCTGGAACTGGTACCAAGCGCGGGAACGCTAAGGATTAAAGATCATTCCCATTTGAAACCAGATCTGCGATTCCTATCCCGATCCGTCTCCGCGCATCCTGCTGGGCGAGAACGGGGGGCGTCCGAATCCTGGGAACTGGAGCTGGGACAGGCCGCGGATCGGATATCCCTATCCGGAAGCGGATCTGGAATGCCCATCCAGAAGCGTGCCCGAATCCCACCAGCCCTTTGGGCGACAGGTGGTCTAAGGGTGATCTCTTTTTTCTTCCGCAATCCCTCTTCCCTTCGGGGAGGGGAACCCTCGCCATCCCCTCCCTGGGGTTTTCTGGGAGGGGGACCAATGTGTCAGAGAGCGCTTTTTCCGCGAGGGCCGATTTTTGACACCCCCCACGAGGATCGTGGCCCCCGAGGGGGGGGCAGACATCGAGGACCCCCCCTCTCTTTTGACCGACCGCCTTCAAGATGGCACCAAGAGGCCCTCCAGGGATCCCAAGAGGCCCCCAAGAGAGCTCCAAAAGCGCCCCAAGAAGCCCCAAGAGGAGGCCTCCAAGAGGCACCCGAGAGGAACCCAAGAGGTCCCCTGAGCGGCCCCCCAAGAGGCCCACGAAGCTCACCCGAGGCACGCAAGACGCCGTCTCGTCCTCGTGCCCATTCCTCGTCCTCCTCGTCCTCGTCCTCGTCCCCCTCTTCGTCTTCATCCTTGTCGACCTCCTCGTCCTTATCCTCCTCCTCCTCCTCCTCCTCCTCCTCCTCCTCCTCCTCCTCCTCTTCCTCCTGTTTCTCCTCCACCTCCTCCTCATCTTCCTCCTTCGCGTCCTCTCGTTCTCGTCCATATCCTTCGTCGTCGTCCTCGTAATTGTCCTCCTCCTCCTCCTCCTCCTCCTCGTCCTCCTCCTCCTCCTCCTCCTCCTCCTCCTCCTCCTCCCCCTCATCCCTCGTCCTCCTCGTTCTCATCCTCCCCCCTCGTCCTCTTCTTCCTCCTCCTCCTCTCATCATCATCATCCCCTTCCACCTCCCCGTCCTCCCCGTCCTCCTCCTCCTCCTCCTCCTCCTCCTCCTCCTCCTCCCAGCCCTGCTGCGCCAAGTTGCGTTGCAGGGACGTTCTTCAGAAGGGCACGCGCTCCTGCGAGCCAAGTGATTTGACAGGATACCTTCCCCACTCAGGACTGCCGCGCTGCCATGGCGCCGCCGGCTTCGACCCAGCGTGGGTACGGAGCCCAGTCGCGGAGCAGCTGGCCGTGGCGCGAGCAGACGAACATCGACGGCTGGGCAGATTGGGACGCGCTCAGTCGAGGATCCACATGGACATGCAGTTCATGCGGATGCAAGAAGAACAAGCAGGGCTGGGCGCAGTGCAAGAACTGCTGGGCCTGGCGCGCCACCCCGCGCACGGGGCAGCACGCGCCCCAGCCGCGGGGCGTGTGGGCGGGCAGCGCCCCGCCTGGCACATGGAGTGTGCTGCCCCCTGTTCCTGCTGATGGCCTTCCTCGGCGTCCTGGCCCTCTCTTCTGGTCTGGAGGCGGCGGCACCCAGCTGGAGGCGACGAGCCAGCCCTCCGACATCGACCAGCTGCGTGGGCTCGTGGACGGCTTGCGCCGCATGGGGGACCCCGAGGCCGCCGAGAAGTGGCAGCGGGAGCTCGACGCCCGCCTCCGCCGCCAAGCCGAGGAGGCCAAGGTCCAGGTCCCGCTGGAGCACCAGGTCAACAGCGCCTTCAACGAGATGCGCACGTTGGAGTCGAAGCTCGGGAAGAGCCTTAACGTGTTCGAGCGGCTGGAGAGCGAGTTGGATGAACAACGTGGCCGAGTTCGTACGTTGCGTGAGGAGCTGCAGGTGGCCGAGGAGAAGCACAAGTCACTCGTCAGCCAATTGCAGGCTTCGTCTGGATGTCCTCGTGAGCCTGCTCCAGCACCGAAGCTCAGTATCGATGATCTGCTCAAAGGAGAGTCGCTGCCTATATGTTTAGACAGCTTGCTCACCGCCGAGTCGGAGTACGAGTTTTCGGAGGAGGACAGACAGGAGGCGAACAAGAGGTTGGAACAATTACAAGAAGGTATCCAGGCTGCGGCGCAACAGCTCTTCGGTGAGGCAGCGGCCAAGTCGAAGGCGTTCAAGGACGCGCAGGCAGAGCAGCTCAAGCGACTCCAGGCCAAGCGTCGCCGCACCGATGGACAAGATGAACTACCCGCAGAAGGTGCTGCAGTTCCAGGAGGCGGTGCTGCCAGTGCAGGGGGCGGTGCTGCCCCAGCCCCTGGCGACGTCGGCGCCGCCAGTGGGCGTGAGGGCGGGGCACCCGCGCCCGAGACGGCGCCTGCAGGGCGTGGCAGCCGTGCGCCGCCTGCTGCCGCACCTGCTGATGTACGCTCTCATGCCGACAGAGTGTTACACGGCGACCCCCCCGCAAGTTCCGCTTGAGGGGGGGTATCACGGTCGACTACGGCCTCTCGCGGGAGGCGCAGCAGTCCTCCTCCCCACCTTTTGCTGCAAACAGTTTCGAGAACCTTGGTAAGAACGCGGGGGGCGTCGCGTCGACGATCCCCCAAACTTTTTCTTCGGCTCGCCTTGTGTGGATCTCCCAGGCTGACGCCACCGCCGACGGTTCTCGTTCTGGTGCTCGCCCCTCTCTTGAAAGCTGTAGGTCACACGTTGGCTAGGGCCAAGTCGGCCCTCGAGCGTGGTGACCCGCACCCGACTCCTAAGTTTTTGGAGCGCCGTGGGCCGCTCATGCCCGGTGTTTCGCCCAGGCCCTATGATGAGCTGCTGCGGCCTCTGGAGGCCGACGCGTTCCCTCTGGACCAGCTCGCACCAGCGTTCGAAACGTGTAATGTCTCGGGCTGGGGATCTGGACAGTTGTGGTTGCAGAATACTGGTGCAGATGTGGTGATCATGCAGGAGCATAAGAGATGCCTCATCAATTGGCGTCGGCGTCGTCGTGGGCGAGACGCCACGGGTGGAAGAGCCCGCGGGTGGCGGCGGTGACTGGCGATGGAGGAGGCCCCTCCGCAGGCGTGGCGCTGTTCGTGAGAGAGTCTTTGGGCCTGGCTGCGCCGCCATCTGGCCATCAGATTTCTGCGGGGAGGGCCCTCGTGGGCATCGTGGACATTCCAGGGCAGGCGCAGCTCGCCATCTTGTCGGCCTATTTCCACGATTGCCAGGACCTGTCGGATGAAAATATTGACCTGTTGTGTTCGTGCCTCTCCCCGGGTCAGGCCCTGGGTTACCCGTTTCTTCTCGGGGCGGATTTCAATATGGAGCCGATGACGCTCCTCTCGGGCGGCCTGGGATCCAGGACGGAGGAAATCCAGTGTTTGATTCCAGATGGGCACACCTGTAAGTCTACGGCAATACCCAAGCAGTACGATTTTTTTATCGCCTCGGCCGACGTTGCCAAGGCCGTTAGCCAAGTTAAGGTGATCCGTGAGAGAAGCCTCACTCCCCATTCCCCCGTGCAAGTCGTCTTGCATCCCAGGCTCGGCCGTCTCCAGGCCCTCGCCTTTCGGCGCCCTCCGCCGCCCCCCACGGCCCCCCTGGCCCCCGTCCAGGTTTTCGAGGCGGTGTCCCCGCCCCTTAGGGCCCATGAAGTGTTGGAGTCGGCTAGAGTTGCTGCTGGGCAGGGTGATTGGGATAGGGCTCAGGGCGCCCTTGATCGCTCTTATCGGTTCTGGGCGAATGCTGCCGAGCGTGAGGTGTCCGCTGTCACGGGTAAGGTCTTGCCCGTGTGGGGCACGAGGGGCAAGCCCCCCCCCCCAGATGTGTGGGAGGCCTATTTTGAACAGGAAGAGCACTCAGGGGAGCTCCGAACGATTTGCTTGTCGCTGGTTGGCCAACATGTTCTGTAATTTCGAAAGCTTCTGGTCGAGCGGCAGCCAGGCGGGCATCAACTCCGTGCTTGCTGATTTGGAGTCGCCACCTCAGTGTGCGCAGCACCTAGGCTCGGCTTGGGGTTTCTTAGGTGCCCTGCGAGATTTCATCTGCGAGCTGCCGATGTACGAGGCCAGGGAAGGGCCCTCGTTCGACTTTTTCGCTCACTTGGTGGGCGCCTTCCAGACGGTGCTGGCCGAGGTCGAGGCGTCGGCCAGGAAACGCGCCAACAAGGAGTGGAGAGAGTGG